TAGAAATGTTTCATCAGTCTTAGACAAAAACATCAATAACCAATTAATTGACCTCGTTTTTCTAGCTTTTTTTTAGTCGCTGGAAAATGCTAACTAGGGAAGATAAAAAAATGTAAATTTGAGTAAAAAATTAAAAATAAATATTTTTGTTGTGAAAATGAGAAGTTAGAAAATTTTAGATAACATTTATATTTTTGATCAGCGTTATAAATGTTTTTCAATGAGAATCACCAAAAGAAATTTTTTTATTTGCTGTATCAGATTGATTTTGAGGTAAAGAAGACTTTATTTTGCCTATATATGCAGTAGTAACAACAAAATTTTAATTTCTTAATGTTTTAATCTTTACTAAAATCAACAAATCTGAACTTTCAAATAAACTTTTGAAGTCAGCAATATTTTCAGGAAGAACTAGTAAGAAATGATGTTATTAATCAACAAAATACAGTTGGCTAGATTATAGCCGAACTGTGGATGCATACATCACCCATCAATCACTATAAGCAATAAGCAGTGAAAATTTATAGTAAAACAAAAAACCGCACAATAAAGAAATAGGATACAAGATGGGGCAAAGATGTACCTTTTTGCATATGTAATGCATTAAATTTTGAATACCGTTCTCTCCCAAAAATGAAACTTGACATTTCTATCAGACAAAAATACGAGAATTCTTTAAACGGCTATTAACTTTGAGCTAAACAATTGCAAGAAGAAAAAAAAATTCTGCGTGTAAATGGCATTAGCAGATATAAGTCATAACTAATATTAAAAAAAATCGCAAACGTGTGAAATAACTGTGTGATACTTGTTCACCAATTTCACATCCAGACCTGTGTTTAACTATTAACAACACTGACTTGTATAAAACTGATATAATACTTCCTTCCAATAGATAACAACTTTATTTCTTTCTTTAACTGAATAGAACTACCTAGAAAATTTAAAAAACTAAACAAAAGTCAAAATAAAAAAATGATTAATATAAGACGAAAATGAAAAATTGAATGACAAAGGTAAGTGAACAAGCAGGCTGATCAATCACATCTTGCTTAATCTTTTTGGAAAGGTGTAAGAACTAAGAAATTGTAGCAAATTTTACTACGCCTATAAATTCAAGCCATTTTCACATTCGTGTTGCTGTTGTTGTAAAATAACACCAGATTTATGCTCTAGATGACGTTGATGAAGGCTATTATCTAAAACAGTGAAAGTGTATAATTCAAAAGGAGTTAAATAAGAACAAGTAATTTCATTTAAATATCATAATTTTTTTGTAAACTTGTAAAGGCTACACTGTATTGCAGTTGCTGAAAAGTTAGTCATAGACACTAAAGATCAATTAGGCAGTTTACCAAGAGACTCTACATTTGTCTACTTAAAAGATGCTTAGCTTCTAAGAAGCGTTCTTGGCAAAAAGAAATCGTTAAGCATCAGGCG